CCATTCTCCTCTCGGGATCTTGGGCACGCACACACACGCGCCCGGCGTGAGTTCTAAGCCACCAGGTCTGGGACGCAAACCTCTCCTCTTGGGATCTTGGGCACGCACGCGCATGCGCCCGGCGTGACCCGCGGTAGACTACATGGGAGTCCGGCGACATAGCCATTATGCTAACTGCTGGTTCCCAGGGAGCAGGTGTTTTAAGGCAGGTAGTGATTTCTTCAAGTGAAGGGTAGCTTCGGGATATAAAGGAAGATTCAGGGGCCACCTGATGGCGTAGCTGTTATGTCGCTGGACTCCTACACGGTTGATCACAGTTTGACCAGGATCCTGGGAGGAGGATGGAGAAGGGGTTGTGTTGTGGTAATCCTCCCTGGGGGTTGATTTCTCACTTTCCCTCTCACTGTGTCTGTTCCCACCCCTCCTGAGCTAAGGCAAAAACCTCTTTTTAAAAAATACAAATAGGGACCAGCAGTTAGCGTAATCGCTATGTCGCTGGACTCCCATGTAGTCGACCGCGGTTTGAGTCCTGGACCCGGTGACTTAAACTCAGGCCGGGCGTGTGTGCATGCGTGCCCAAGATCCCAAGAGGAGAATGGAGGAGAAGGGATTGTGGCTGGCCATCCCCCCTGATTTCTCGCCTTCTATCTCTTGCTCTGTCTCTTTCTGGCGAACGCAGGCGCCCTATAGCAAAAACCTCTCCAAAAATAAAATAAAATACAAATAAAGCCACGTTTATTTTGAAGTCTATGCTGCCCTTAAGAGGCACGAGACGCGGTCAATTTCTGGTGTGACCCAGGACAGGTCCCTTCTTCTCAGGGTGCAGGGAAAAGGCTGTGCCTGCGGGCTTCGGCTTCGGTGGGTCACTCTTGAAGTGGGGACCGCCCTTGCGAAGGGCTTTTTTTTTTTGGAGAGATTTTCGCTATAGAGCGCGTGCGCCAGGCAGACAGAGAGAGACATAGAGACAGAAAGCGAGAAATCACCCACCAGGGGGGATGGTCACGCCGCAATCCCTTCTCCTCCATTCTCCTCTCGGAATCTTGGGCACGCACGCACACGCGCCCGGCGTGAGTTCTAAGCCACCGGGTCCGGGACACGAACCGCGGTCGACTACGTGGGAGTCCAGCGACATAGCCATTACGCTAACTGCTGGTTCCCGCGAAGGGCTTTAGCAAAGATTTCTTGACCGTCAGTAACCCCCACGAGCCCCCACCTCCCCGCCCCCTCTGCCCCGCACAAAGATGGCGGAGTGTGTCGTCACAAAGGGGCGGAGGACGAAACCCAGAGCCGGCGAGTGCTGACGCGTAGCTGCGCTTTTGCGCCTGCGCTGAGAGAGCGCGGGAGAGGTGCGCTTGCGCGCAGCGCGTCTGCGAGACTGAGTTAGACGGATCCGAGCGGAGTTAGGGGTGGTTATAGGGTTTTGGCTTCGCTGCGAGTGTGAGCCGAGTCGGGAGTCCTCCCAGCGGCGAAGGGACCAAGTTCAGCAGCGGCCGGGCGCGGCATGTCCCGGGAGCCGCGGTGCGGACAGTGAACGCGCGGCGGGCGGGATGGGCCGGCGCCGGGTGCCCGAGCTGTACCGGGCCCCGTTCCCGTTGTACGCGCTCCAGGTCGACCCCAGCGCGGGGCTGCTCATTGCTGCAGGTGGAGGAGGCGCCGCCAAGACCGGCATAAAGAATGGCGTGGTGAGAGCTCAGGGCCATTGGGGCCGGGTCACGCCGCGGGCTGAGGGCAATTCTGGGGTGACTGTGGGTCGTAGAGGCGAGTCACACCCCAGTTTCAGCTTCTGCTCATTTCCGTTGGGAAAACTCGGCTTGCGGGCGCCCCGGGGCGCGTTTCAGTTCAAAGCTTACCTTGTGGGAGTGACTGAGAGCCCGCTAAGGTAAAGGGAAAATTGTACCCCGCGCTGCACAGGCAAGAACGCTTCAGCTCCACCTCGGAGCAGCTCCGGGGGGTCTTATCCTGACTCTTTCCAGGGAGATCAGTCTTCTCCATCTGCCCTCGAGCCGCGGCGAGTGGCGCGTGTGAACTAGGTTCCTTGTAGTTCTGAGCTTCACCCTTTTTGTAAACTAGAGGCGATAAGCTCACCCCAGCTTGCTGTACAGATATGTGGCGCCCAGAAAGTGCAGTAAGCTAAGGGCAAGGCTCCAGCCCATGCGGTCTAAGTTTACCCTTGCTCTCCGGGCACCCCTGGACGGTGCTCATCCTGGTTACCTCCCCCACAGCACTTTTTGCAGCTAGAGCAGATTAATGGGCACCTGAGCGCCTCTCTGCTGCACTCCCATGACACAGACACACGGGCCACCATGAACTTGGCCTTGGCTGGTGACATCCTTGCTGCCGGGCAGGATGCCCACTGTCAGCTCCTGCGCTTTCGGGCCCATCAGCAGAAGGGCAGCCACAAGGCAGAGAAGGCAGGTGAGCAGCTCCTCTCTGACCCTTTGGAGAAATGGTTAAATGGGTAAGATCACTCTCACTTTGGTCCCTCTACAGAGGGGTGGGAAGTGGGGTTCATGGTGGCATCCTAAAAGCTATGCGTACACCTTCTGGGTCAAGAAGGGCCAGTACTGCTTTATGCAGAAGCCTGGAATGTGGCTTTGTGTTGCAGGTTCCAAGGAGCAGGGGCCTCGCCAGAGGAAGGGGCCCTCACCAGCCGAGAAGAAATCTGGAACTGAAACCCAGCCCGAGGGGGTAGAACTCAGGGTGGAGAATTTGCAGTCAGTGCAGACAGACTTCAGCCCTGATCCCCTGCAGAAAGTTGTGTGCTTCAACCACGATAATACCCTCCTTGCCACCGGAGGGACAGATGGCTACGTTCGAGTCTGGAAGGTGTGGTTTTTGGGTGTTAGGGAGGGTGAATGTCAGTAGCAGCAAGACCAAAATTGTGAGAAACTATAGGACCAGCAGATAGTGCAATGGCTACGTTGCTGGACTCCCGACACAGCCAACTGTGGTTCGAGTCCTGGACCTGGCGGCTTTAAACTCACTCCAGGCGCATTTGCGTCCATGCCCAAAATCCTGAGAGGATGGAGGAGAAAGGAATGCAGTGTGGCCATCCCTCCCTGGGAGATGACTTCTTGCTTTTGGTCTCTGTTTCACTTTGTCTCTATGGCAAGTGCATGTGCCCTATAGCAAAAGTCTCTTAAAAAAAATTGTGAGAAACTGAACATGGGTTCTGATAAAGTTATGAAGCCTGCACTGAGTGGTCATTGAAGAGAAGAAGGGCTCTTACTATGTACCTGAGACAAGTTTGGTGGTGGTTTGGCTGCAGGTACCCAGCCTGGAGAAAGTTCTGGAGTTCAAAGCCCATGAAGGGGAGATTGAGGACCTGGCTTTGGGGCCTGATGGCAAGGTGAGGAGGTGGCGGGGGTTGGGAATGGGGAGCCGGTCGAGAAGGTAGTTGGTTATGCTGCTTGCCTTATAAGTGGAACCTCTAACTGTCTGTCCTTGGAATCTTTATTCCTAATTAGTTGGTAACTGTTGGCTGGGACCTTAAGGCCTCCGTGTGGCAGAAGGATCAGCTGGTGACACAGCTGCACTGGCAAGAGAATGGACCCACCTTTTTGAACACGCCTTACCGCTACCGGGCCTGCAGGTGTGAAGACCAGGGAGGGTGGCTGGAAGAGGCACAGCCCTGCTACAGTGGGGGAGTGGGGAAAGACGAGGGAGCTGGGGAGGGGACAGGAGGGCACAAACCTTGAAGAAAGGTTGGGCAAGCCCCAGGAGCTGAGCAGTCCTTCCCCGACCCTCAGGTTTGGACAGGTGCCAGACCGGCCTGCTGGGCTGCGACTCTTCACAGTGCAGATTCCCCACAAGCGCGTGCGCCCGCCCCCTCCCTGCTACCTCACAGCCTGGGATGGCTCCACCTTCTTGCCCCTTCGGACCAAGTCCTGTGGCCATGAGGCCATCTCCTGCCTCAGCGTCAGGTAAGAGACCATGCTGGCTTGGCTGGGTACGAGATGCGTGGGGGAGCTTGGGAGGAGTCTTACGTTTGTCCCTGAGGCCCCGGCTGGAGGGGTGCGTAGGCCTCTAGGACAATGAACACTTTATTGTTTGTTGCAGTGAATCGGGCACCTTCCTAGGCCTGGGCACAGTCACTGGCTCTGTTGCCATCTACATAGCTTTCTCTCTCCAGGTAATGGGTGCAGGTTTGCAGAGCCCTGTGGGAGGACTGTAGGCCTGCCTCTATCCTGAGTGTGCAGGAAGGAGTCTGGCCAGTCCAAGGGAAAGCCTTCTGGGGGTGGAGAGCGTGTTTTCCAGAAGGAAGGTTCCCAGCTGGAGATTATCTCACTAGTTTTCCTCCTGCCCCTAGCGCCTTTACTACGTGAGGGAAGCCCATGGCATTGTGGTGACCGATGTGGCCTTTCTGCCTGAGAAAGGTCGTGGACCAGAGCTCCTTGGGTCCCATGAAACTGCCCTCTTCTCTGTGGCCGTGGATAGTCGTTGCCAGCTGCACCTGCTGCCCTCACGGCGTAAGTTATTGGGCTGGATCCCACCCCACCTTTAGCTCAGGCAAAAACTGGCCCCCGAGAGAAAGGGCTCCTTGGGTGTAGTCATTGGCTCCCCTCTTGCATGGAGTAGTTGAGGGCTCTGGTCTTCAGCTGTGAAAAGCCCTTTTGTCCTCTGACCTCTTCCCTCGCAGGGAGCGTTCCTGTGTGGCTCCTGCTCCTGCTGTGTGTCGGGCTCATCGTTGTGACCATCCTGCTGCTCCAGAGTGCCTTCCCAGGTTTTCTTTAGCCTCCCCGCTCCCTGGGAGTCAGGGGCCCAGACACTGCTATCTTCTCGAGCAGAGCGGGGTCCTGAACCCCTATTGCTCACTCCACTTGAGCCCACAGCTGAGGCTGCCTCCAGTAAGACTGATGGGCATTGCCTGCCCTTCCCGGTTCAAGTTCAGCTATGACCCCGTGCAAGTGTGGGTCCTGGGGGCCTTGCACTCATCACCTGTGGATCTGCCCAGGAGAGTGGTATCTGAAGCCCAGGCCACACCACTTGCCACCTCCTCTCTGCCTACCCAAAGCTCTGGAGTTGAGCTCATCCTTTCTCCAGCAACACATGAAAAAGCCCGAAATCCTAGAGGCACTGCTCGTCTTCCTGCAGAACAATCAGTTTCTCCTCCTCCCCTCCCAGCCTTGTGGCCGGTTGCTCTTCACGTGAAGTCCCTGGCATTTGCTGGGACGAGGACTGACCTGACACTAGCTGTTAAGGCAGGAAAGGCAAAAGGAAGACTTAGGTGGTAACCCACAGGTTCAGGTGGGTAATGCCAAGGTGGCCAGGCCAAATGTACAGTAAGTTCCTGGATAGCCTACTCCAGCCTTGCAGAAAGACAAAATGAACCTCAGCCCAACAGGCAGAAGTTGATATTTAATAAATAAGGGAGACTGAACTGTTGAGACCCCCAAATGATCCTCTCGTCAGCTCTTTCCGTCCTGAGAAGGCGAGCGAGCCGTGAGGTCACGCAGCTCGGCCAGGTGCTGGAAGATGGCCCTGGCGTACTGGTGCAGGAGGCGGCTCATGTAGCAGTGCTGCCAGGGCAGCAGCCCTTCCAGGAAGCCGATGTGCCCTCCCCGGGCTGTGATGAGCAGTGCAACGTGGGAAGAATGTTGGGCAGCCTGTAGGGGAAGGGCTGGGAGAGGGTCAAGAGGAGTCAGGAACCCTGGCGTTTACTGAGAGCCCAGGCCTCTCTGTGCCTCAGGGCCCATTTTCCCTGGGGCCAGAGCGTCATGAGTCAGGGATGCTCACCGTGAACTGGGGAGAAGGGGTCATCCGCTGCATTGAGGCAGAGCACAGGGGTCTGGATGGCATCTACCTTAGTTCTTGGGCTCGCTGCCTGGTAGTAGGTGACACAGTCCGGATACCCGAAGGCCACAGATGTGTAGCGTTCGTCGAACTGGCGGATGGTGCGGGCCTGCGGGTGGTGAGGACAGGGCAGGCTAAGATGATAGAGAATAGGTGGAAGAACAGGGGGCGGGGGAGGTGGAGGAGGAGGTTATACCTGTAACACAAAGTCCACATCCACCATATTCTCCATCACCCTTCTGTTTCTGCAAAAGATACGTAAGGGTTTAGTTTGACTCCTTTACTCAGTGCCCCCAGTCTCATTTCACGCATGCAAAGCCCCAGAGAGAGACCTGACTTGGGCACTGGGAGAGCCTGGCATGCCTGCCATCCTGCCCTGTCTGCTGCCCTCCCACTTGCCAGGACCCACCTGTCCATAAACCGGCAGAGCCCAGCAGCGAGTGGCTGGTTGAAGAGCAGTGAGTTGAGCGGGGTTTCCAGGGAGCGGGTGGTCTCTAAGGAATCCCAGCATGCAGACAGTGTCAGTGCTGCCACTATCCCCGAAGACTGCCTGCTCTTCGCCAGGTAGTTCAGCACCAGTATCCTGCAGAATTGCACAGGAGGCCATGGGAGGAGGGTTCGTATTAGTGAGTTTGCACAGAGGAGATCTGGAAGACATGGAGGACGAAAGAGGACAGACGACAGCCTCTGAGTTAAACCTTTACCCTCCGAAAGAGATGCCCACGGCCAGTAGTGGAGCTTGGGAGTAGCGGTGCTTTATGTGGTTCACAACGGTCTCTAGATCTTCAGTATTGCTGGCGCAGAAAGCCCTGTGAGTCTGGAGGCAAACCAGATCATTGGGTAGGGAAGGAGGCCTTGGCCAGAAGGTCGAAAAATGGAAGGGCTCGGGAGTTGGAGGGGAGATGGAGGCAGGAGGGAAGGATAGGTAAGCAGGTAAGAGACCCAAGGCCAAGAACCCCTGAAGGGAGTGGGTGAAGGGCTATGCTGGGGAAGGAGGGTGCTCACCAGCAGTTCTTCCCCACGGCAGCCCCGGTTATTAAATACCACGGCCCTGTGGCACACATAGGTAGTTCTTAGCCAGACCCTCCCTAGAAGCCCCTCTCCCCTTGAGGTAGTCTTTAGAAAGACCCCTGTCAGAAGACTGCCTTCACAGAGCAACCCCTCTCAGGGCTGGACTTCCCATTACACGTTCTCAGACACCACCCAGCTTCTGACTAGGCACACCCTTACCTGTAGCCGTCCCTCAGAGCTTGGCTAACCAGGTGCAAGACGTACGTCTCCTGGCTACTGCCAGTGATGCCCGGAAGCAGCAGCACGATGGGCTGGGTGGAAAGGTCCGGGTACTGACTGCTGTCAGGCTGCTCGGCCCAGTCGAGCAGCAGCTGGCCCCCATCTGGGGTAGGGAGGACTTCACTGTGGCATTGCAGAGAGGGGCACACAGAGATGCAGTTAGGAATCTAGTGGACTTCCAGAGGCTCACCCTGGTCCCTGCTTGTATGTAAAGCAGTTGGGCTTGACCAGAAGGCAATGGGGACATAAAAGATTGATTGTTGCCTCATGGTTGTGCAATTACATAGCCCTTCCATACATCCACTCTCCCTGTACCCTCAGCACACGAGTAGATGGGGCCAAGAGGGCCTTCATTGGGAAAGGAGATAGGCTTCCCCTAGGGACTTGCAGCTTCACATTCACCCCTTCCTGTCCCTTCTTACCTCTGGTAAGGGACTAGGGGCTTAGTCTGCAGAAAGACTCGGAAGATGGTTTGTAGCCGTCCCTCGAAACACCACAGTGTAGGGTAGAAAGTCTCCACAGTGACTGGACAGTGTTGCTCCAGGAAGGCCAGGAACTGAGGTCCAGCCACCAGCCGAGGCCTCTGAAATCACACACCACCATCTGCTTCACTCACCTGATTATTGCACCAAGCTAACGAGGCAAAACCCCAGAGGGTGAGTCGCCCTCTCTCCAGAGGTGCCTGGAGGATCCCACTTGGCCTGGGGAGAAAGATTGGCACAGCTTGGTCTGGAGTGGCCAAGTCACCTCTGATGGTAAAGTCCAACTAGAGCCCCAGAGAACCTCTGACCCTGAACAGCTGCCGCTAACTGGGCACCGACTCCCCCACTCAGCCTTTTCATTGCCCAAAGCCATTTGGGAGATTCCCTGCAAGAAGGAGTGGGGTTCTGGGCAGAGGCTGAAGAAATGCAGCACCACTCGTTCTGAGACCTTGGCCTCCCAGTGGCATGAGCCACACTCAGCCAGCTGAAGCTCCAATGTCAGCACCCCACTGTCTGCGTCTTCCAGCTGTTCCCGACGCATAGGCTTGTTGCTGGAGGGTTTCCTGTTGCTGAAGGGTGCCTCCCATCTTTTACTTGTGGGGCCCCTGCAGTTAGATCATGCTCTAAAGGAGCAACAGTCCTAATGAGAGCAGATTTCGTCATGCCAGGCCTGGGGAAGGTAACAGAAATAGATGACAGGGACAGATGAGGTCAGCGGGCACTATGCCCTGACTTTCAACATCTCTTAGTTCCCTGGATAGACAGCAACTGAATGAAGGCCTGGCTACGCTAAGGCCTATGAAGGAGAAGCATGTATACAGAGCCCCTGTCCTGGGGACCAAGAATGGATACTGCGTTTTTGTAGCAGGCCGTGAGGAACTGGAAGACAAGATTCCTCTCTCTTCTACAGCCTTGATACTCCAAAGGGGCGGGGCAAATGATTAGAAACTAGAGCGGCCCAGTGGACAGTCCCAAGCTGTACGAGGGCTGTGGGGTAAGGACAGCTAGGAGTCATCGTGTGCTGGATGCAGGCTCTGGGCTTGGCCTCACTCTACAAGGCAAGATATTTCATACGTGCAGATATGACACAGATGAAGTGTTTCACCCCAAGTCACAAACAAAAGGCAAAGCAGGATTAATAGGCTTTTCCCACTGAGAGCTGGAGGTAGAATGTGTTGAGTGCTCATTATATTCCAGCACTTCACATGATTTTATCTTACACTTTTTTTTTTCCACACAAAGATACTCTGATCCCACTGTGTTGAACAACTTGTCAAAGGTCAAGAAGCTTGCCAGAGCCAGGCAGAGGCAGAGCTGGAGACGGCACACCCAGGGCTGTCTGTGCTGTTGAGTCACTGCACTGTCGCCTCCTGAGTGTCAAGATTTTGAGTTGCTATCAGTTTATCTAATCCTTGGTCACGCAGCTCAGTAGAGTAGAACAAGGTTAACAGCGTAGTCCACAAGTTTGCTCCATGTGGGTTTCATTTTGATGCAAGCAGAAAGTTTCTTGCCTCACTCCTGAGAATTAGTGTTCTGCTGTCGGTTGTGGTGGATAAATCAGTATCTGTCCATTACCAGGCTAGACGGTCTCAATTCTGTTTTCGGGGGCTCCAGATGGCACTTTTCCTGCCTTTTAACCACTTTGGGGAGTTAAGAGAGGGTCTGGGGGACCAGCAGATGGCATATTGGTTATGTTGCTGGACTCCTACATAGTCCACTACAGTTCAAATCCTGGATCTGGTGGCTTAAAACATGCTGGGCACATGTGTGTGCATGCCCAAAATCCTGAGAGGAGAATGGAGGAGAAGGGATTGCTGCATGGCCAGCACCCCGGGGGGTGATTTTTGCTCTCTCTCTTTGTCTCTATGGTGAGCATATGTGCCCTATAGCAAAAATTCCCTAAAAATAAATTAAAAAGGAGGGTTGGAAGCCCAAAGTGGCAGGAGCTCTGACTTCCATGTGGTTAGTTGTAGCAAAGGAAACTCCAGTTAAGGACAGTTCTGGCCTGAAATGACTGACTCTCCAAATCTGGTATATAAGATGAGGCTTATAGAGTATTGTGAAATTTAGATTTTAAACTTTTTTTTAAACTTAATTTCATGAGTGAGAGAGAAGCATCCTCACCAGGGTTTCACATCACAATTCCCACCCATCCAGCAAGGCTCAGGTGTGCCCAGTATGTGCCAGTTGTCCCAGGAACCAACCCCAGTCTTCTGTGTAGCTTTGAGTTTTGCTTAGCCTGTGTGACCTCAGCTTGGGCCTTGGGTTGTTTTGTTAAGAAAGATGTATAAACAATATATGCTAATATAGAAAGTTTTGAAAATATAGGAAAATCTAGGTCATACTAAAATTTCCCTTAGCTTTTTAAAGAAGTTTGCCAGAGTGCCATGTTCTCACCAGGGGGAGAGGAAGAGAGAGGAAGCTCGCCCCCACCCCCAAGCGGGGATGGCCATGCCACAATCCCTTCTCCATCTCTCCCTTCTTTTAGGATTTTGGGCACATACACAGTCACCCTGCGAGCTTTTCTTTTTCTTTTTTAAAAAATTTATTTAAAATAATGATCTTATTTAACTTTATTCATTCATTTATTTATTTTGATGAGGGGGGGAGAGAGAGAGAGAAAGTGAGAAAGCAAGCCATCAGGTCTGAGACTCGATCCATGGGCGGCCATGTGGTAATTCAGACCCCTTAACCACCATGCCACCTGTCACTGCCCCCACCACCTCCCTGAGAGTTTTTCAAGCTACCTGGTCCAAAACTCCATCTAATTACCATGCCACTGGCTGGTCCTCCTAAAGGACTGTAACCAATAGGTTTCTTGTTAGACTCAGCTACCTAAAACGGTTTAATGAGATTGAAAGACTTAGTTTCCCAGGACAGGTAAATGATCTATATTTAAGTGAGAAAATCTCCAAGTTCATCAGGGTCAAGCTATGGAGGTGGTGTTGGGAGCTAGCCATAACCCAAAGCCCCCCTTTCTTCTTCAGCCAGCTAAGGAGAAACTCACCTGAAAAAGAAGAGGAACGCCGTGTGCACAGTCTGACGCCTGAGGCCGCCTTCCACCCACCTTTCCCCCAGATGCTTGCTCACAACGCGGGGGGCAGCACCCTTCTGGGGCTCAGCTTAGGGAGGCCAAGGGCCGACTCTCCTTTGGGTGATAATAGTAAATTTCACCTGGGGCGGACACCCAACCATCCTAGCTTCCACAAAGGGCTGAACTCCCTACACCCAAGTGTCCCATACCCGCCAGCCACAGAGGTGGATCTGCACGAACCTGGGGCACACATGCCCGGTAGTAGCCCAAGTAGAGGGCGACGCCAAGAACCAAGAGCAGAAAGAGAGTCTCTGTCCAGGTGCCATTCTGGGGGCTCAGCATGTCGGGTTGGGGGGTTCCAACTCCTCAGGCTCTCGCCCGGCTCCAGCTGCTTGACTTTTTGACCAGTCGGCCCGCGGGTTCGCGCCGGGCCCCGCCCGTTACCCGCTATTGGACGGCTTGTGCAAGTCCCGCCTCCGCTGCGCTGCGGGGCTCGGCCCCGCCCACCGCCGGGGCCCCGCGTGGGTGGATAGAGGTGGCGCTGGGACTTCGCCGTTGAGCGAGCTGACCCTGATGGCCTTCTCTGAGCTGATTCGGGGGACCTGCAAATGGCCTTCCGCCCTACTCATGCTTCCCATCCGCGGTTGCAAGCGGTGCTACCCAAGGGCAAGTGGCCTCCCCTGCACCTGCCCTGTTGGTGCCAGGCGCCTCCAGCTCCTTAAGACTCTTCGCCAGCGACGACGACGGTCAGTCCCCCAGCCGCTCTGTCAGTCACTCTAATACCACCACAGGACACAGCTCCCTCACCCAGAGCACAGCCATTTGCAGCGACCTCATACTCAGGACATAACCACCGCCCAGCTGGGACATGCCCCAAACTGCCACAGACCCAGGTTTAACTGGTCAGTGGTAGCTTATTCCACACACACACACTCAGGTTAAAGTCACTCATGCAGTGTCACTCCAACCTGTCCTGTCCAATTCCTGTGACAGTGCACAACACAGAGTTTACTGACCACCTGCTCTGTACCAGCCCTTTGATGTGGATCACCCAGGGTAGTGTCCCTATCTTCCTGGGGACACATAGAACTCAGTCATCTGCTGGCCCAGTGGCTTTCAACTTCCACTACTGAGTAGAATCATTGGGAGTTTTTAAAATACCCGTGTCCAGGCCCCACCCATGGCAGAGTAGGTCTGGCATGGAGGCCAGAGATGGAAGAAATGTGAAAGTATCTGGGGTTGAACCCCTGCACTGGTGCCAGGTACTAGATAAAGGAAGTACCATCTGGAGACGAGAGACTTCTTAAAGGAGTGGAAAGAAGTTTGGGGTGATCAGAGCCTAAGGCTGGTCGGGGATGTTATGCTAAGGGCAAAGGAAAATCTTCAAAGAGTTTTGAGAAGGGATGGGTGACATGATCAGAGTTAAGTGTTTTTTTGTTTTGTTTTGTTTTGTTTTTTTAGGTTTTTGGCATAGGGTGGGTGCACTTGCTGGAGACAGAGTAATAGAGAGAGGGAAAGTGAAAAATCATCCTCCAAGAGGGGTGACCAGGCCGCAATCCCTTCTGCTCTGTGCTCTTCTTGGGAGTTTGAGCATGCATGCACATGCACTCAGCATGAGGGAAATTTCAAACTGCCGAGTCTGGGACTCGAACTGTTGTCAGCCATATGGGAGTCCAGCACCTTAATCACCACACCACTTGCTGGCGCCCAAAGTCAAATTTTAGAAGAATCATTCAGACTGTTATGGAGAATGGATTGGGAGAGGGTGAAAACAAGAGAGAGGCCAACTGGGAGGCTGTTGACAAAGTGCCTGGCCCAAAAGATGGCTGCCTAGACTGGGGATAGGCCAGGAGAGGAGCAGAGCACTTCAGGACAGAAGGCTGAAGACCCCCGGGATCTGAGAACGAAGACGGTGCATCTAGACTCAGACATGTAGAGATTAGGGTGTTGCTAGTTGCCTTAACTGTTTTCTCAGACTCCATTTGACATCCACTAACCACAGGGCCACATTAATGGCCAAAGTTGTTTACACTCCCCTCCATCCAGAGCCCATTCTCTGACCCACCTTCTTTATCTGACTCTTACACACCAAGCCAATATATGCCATGCCCAAAATCAACCCAGGCCAGGTACCAGGCAACTAGGGCCAGCCCCTATGCACCATCTACCAGAATTACTCAAACTCACCACATCCACCCTGCCTGCCTTTCCTGCAGTAACCCCAATAAAGGGTGTGGCTTATGCCCCCCTTCACTCCGAGTGCCACTGGGGCTTCCTGCTGTGGCTGGGCATAGCTTACTGTGTCTCTTGTTTTTAGGGGAACTAGAATAACATTAAACATTTATTTTGGGACTAGCAAGTGGTTTGGTGGTTAAAGCGTGGAACTCTCACATGGTTGACTGATTCGAGTCCTGGGTCTGGTGCCTTAAGACTCATGCCAGGCGCATGTGCGTGTATGCCCAAAATTCCAAGAAGGGAATGGAGGAGAAGTGATTGTAGGGACCAGCAGGCGGCGTGGTGATTAAGGCGCTGGACACTCCCACATGGCCGACCAGGGTTCAAGTCCTGAATCTGGTGGCTTGCTTTCTCACTTCCTCTCTCTCTCACTCTCAACCTCTGTCTCTCTCTGGTCA